GAACTGGTCGGAGTTAATTTCTTATCTTTTATTGTGTTTTTTGTTACCGATTTAAAATGTCAGAAAAACAAAAGAAGGTTGTATTGACGATTGCGCAAAAACTAGAATTAATTTCCAAAGTAGCAAATGGCGCTACAAGGCAGCAGATGGAATTGGATTACGGAATCGTGGAAACAACAGTGCGTGACATTCTAAAGCAAAAAGACAAAATAATGAACTTTGCATCAATGTCGGACAGTGCTTCTGCAATGAAAACGCGAAAACTATGAAGGGTTCTACCTTTGATGAGACACAGATTGGTTTAGCTGGTTGCTCAAGATTACTCCTGTAAGTGGTCCTATCATTGCGGCGAAGGCAAAAATCTTTTTTGAGTTGTTAGGCCTGAAAGGAAATTTTGATGGGTCTTCTGGTTGATTTACTCGTTTTAAGCAGCGACATTGAATTCAAGAAATTGGACTTCATGGGGAGAAACTTAATGGTGACCAAAAGCAGCCACCGATTTCCACCATGAATTTGAAGAATTTGTTTTAAAAGCAGAGCTATCTTTTGAACAAATTTACAATGCTGACAAATCGGGACTTTTGTGGAAACCACTCGCACTTTAGCATTTGAAAGTGAAAGTAAAGTGGCAGGTCATAAAAGCAGCAAGGAAAGGATCACTATCATGTCTTGCTGTAATGCTACTGGTGGACATAAACTTAGACTTTTTGTTATTGGAAAGTAAAAAAAAAAACGAGATTTTTCAAAGGCACAAGGATAGAAAATTTGCCCGCCGATTGCTTTAAACCAAAAAAAAAAAAAAAAAAAAAAAAGGGATGGATGAACCGAAACATTTTTCAAGAATGGTTCGAAAAAATCTTTGTTCTTCAAGTGCGTAAACATCTTAAATCGAAAACCTGCCTGAAAAAGCTGTGCTATTGATCGACAACGCACCTTCTCACCCAGCAGCAAGCATGCTAAAGTCTTCTGATGGACAAATTTTTGCAAAGTTTCTCCCCCCAAACGTTACTGCGCTAATCCAACCCATGGACCAAGGAGTCATTGCAACAATGAAGAGAACATACCGAACCAAGCTACTAATGACCAGAATTGAAGAAGGTTATGATCTGAAAGAGTTTTGGAAACACTACACAATCTTGGACAGCATCTACGATATTGCATCTGCATGGGACTCGGTGAAACTGTCCACCCTCATAAAATCATGGAGAAAACTCATGCCTAATGTTGAAGCCAACAGCAACCTAACCCCTTTGAGTTGTGAAGAAGAGAATGAAGATATAGACACGCCCACGGCAACTCTTGCCGATATGGTGAAAACAGTTCTGGCTGGTGAGAACGTCGATGCTGAAAACATTAATGAGTGGTTGGAGTGTAACGTCTACGAACCTGGCTTCGAACGCTTGACAGATGACGAAATTGTGAAGAAAGCAAGGGGAGAGACCGAGAATGAAGGACAGCGAAGTGAAGGCGAAAAAGAGCCCAGTATGCAGATGTGGAAGACGCACGAAGCGGCTTTGCTGACGGACTGCTGAGCTATTTGGAAGAACAAGACGACACGGAGTTGGCCGATAAACTTATGCTACGAAAAATGCAATCTCGGATCAAGACAAAATGCTTCCAAAGCAAGAAGAAAACACAAATGACTGTTTCTTCAAAAAGGTGTAGTTTTACAGTTATGCTTTTGTAATTACATAATACACTACAGTATTAAAACAGTATGTATCAATTTTTCTGTGTATCCTTGACGCCTCTTGTAAGTATACAAAGCACTTTTCTGTTTTCATTAACAAAATGCATTTTAAGTTAGTTTTGAGTGATATACTAAAATATTAAGTGTTAGTTAAACATTTCCTGCTGTTTATTTTACGTTTTATTATACATAAAACGATTTTTCAAAGTTGGAATGACTGTTTTCTCTTTTGCATACTCGTTTTTAGCTTTTTTCAGATTATCCGCGATTTTTGTTATTCGTGGCGGCCATGCCACCGAATTCCGTGAATAATCGGGAGTGTACTGTATACATTTGCTGTAATTAGTCTAAAATTGGCATTAAAAAGTAAATAAATAGAAGCCATCCATTTTATCCTTTAACAGAAAAAGAGCAAGCCCCCCTTCCTCCCAAAGAAAACCAAAAGTAAAAAAAAAAAAAGATCTGAAAGTTTTCAAATTTTATATTACACCCATACACTCAACGTTTTGTGTGTTATCTTTATTTATTAAATATCATGTTCTTTGCACTTAAACCGTAAAATTCAATTCAACAGGAATATCGCAAAATAATTTTAAAATGAGCATATCTTTAGAATTTCCGATACACAGGCTTGCGTGCGGGAGATAAAATTTTTCTTCCCCCCCCCGTACAATGTTTCCATTGCTCACTTTGAAATTATTCAGTTTGTTAATCAAAAATTCATTAAAGGGTTATAAAATATGATATCGATAATAAAACACATTTAAAACTCCAAATTAGGGCTTCCAGATGCCCTTATTCCGTGGAAAATTACGCTACTCATAATTTGATGGCTCTAGGTACTGTTGTTTTATCACAATGCGAAAAACATATACAGTCAGAAGTCGTTAATTCGGACACCCATAATCCGGACCTCAAAGCTACAAAATTTCTGCGCATGTGTCGCGTTGACGCATGCGCATAGGCGTTTACGTGTGCGCGTAAGACCTTTACGGCTGCGAATATGCGCGTGCGCATAAAACGTTTACGCATACGCGTTTAATGTATAACGGATGGTATAAGCTAAGCTAAAATTATCTAATTCAGTTAATGTTGCAGATTGCGTTGTTCCTTAGTCTTCGAATTGGATCCGGCTTATTATTTTTTGTTCACTGGTAGAGCAATTTTATAAAAGTAAGCTTGAACTTTTGATTATATCAAATAGAATTTCTGAGATATATTTGCTAATATGTAAAGGAGATCTAAAGCGAAAGTATGTTTCAAAATCCGAAATCTGTTTATCAATTTCACGCTGCTCGGCGGGGGAACGCTGCGGGGCGCAATGAATTGGAAGTTGATCTGTCAGCACTATCTTTATCTTCAAAGCAGATGTTTTATTTTATTTGGCTTATAATTCCATACTAAATGTAGAATTTCATCTCGATGTACTCCGTCTTTGATATGATTTAAAACAAGTTCCTCATCATTATGATTCGCTTCCGATAGTGAAGAAAATGACAGAGGTTATTGAAAATGAAAAAATTTCGATTGACAAATTAGTCGGTATTCTCGACACAGCAATTATAGGACTTGAACAGCGGAACTTTGTAACTAAACAAGAAATTATGTCTGTTTAATAGAATTAAAGAGAAAGTATTATCACATGAAACGAAGCAACTTAAACAACTTACATTGAAAGAAATGTTTAATAAAGTAAACAAATAAATATTAAGCCTTTTTTTTTTGTAAATTTTGATACCCTTTAGATCATAATTGCTCTTTATTTCATAAATTCCGGTTTCATATTTTTAATTGTATAATTTCTGCATGCCATCTTACCAGATTTAAATTGATGATCTATAATCCAGAATCGCCGAAGTCCCGATGAGTCCGGATTACGGACTTTGTAATGTATAAATTCAAGTGTTTCTGGGTAGTCCGCAGTATTTCTTGTTTCTTCATTTTGTCAAACTCCATATTATTCTATATTTTGTGTATGTGTATCAGTTTCAGGATCCACAAAATTATATTGGTGATTCTCTTTAAAATGTTGGAATCCTTCTGCTTCCACTTCATCAGTTTTTCAACTTTTTCACGAGGCTGAGAAAATTGTAGTTCCTTCTGCAATGTAGTTCCTAATTTCAGCCATTAGAGTTAGTGCATTTTGATTGGGAACCTACACGACGAAACACTCGTTGCTCTCTCTACAGAGTTCTCCAAAGATCCATTGTTCTGGAAGAATATGACTGACTGACTTGGTTTTTGCATTTTGTAAAAAGGCTGTAATCTATCTCTACAATTTTGTTTGAACCTCCTATTTGTTTCAATTCACGTTGTAAAAGGCTATGAGTACACATTGCCCTCATATAATTGTTCCAATCAACAATTGTCTTTTCTGTTAAATCTAGTTGTTTTTCACGCCGTTCAATTGATGTTAATTCTTGCGACCAGTAGTAAACAAACCGGAGGGCAGTTGGAAACGGGAGTTTTGGGCCCTCCAGCCACGTGCCTTTTCGAATAGCTACTCGTTTATCATGCCCCTTTACATTGCACTGCCATTGCTTATCAGTTTTGATATGCAATGCCATATTGTGGTCATTAATGCACATTTTCTTAGAAGAAATGATTCCATAATCTTGAAAATATGCCACTGCACTCTCTTCGGTTCTAGGCAAATCCCAAATTTGAATCGTTTTGCAGCGGAGTAAGAAAAAGCAGAATATTTCAACATACTAAAGAAAAACTAACTTGGGTAGTCAAGGATTACACAGTTATTGCTGCAGAAGCTAACCTTTTGGCAATAATATCAGGTTTCGCGAAGACAGTTGATGGGATAATCCCAAACTAGAAAAATGGTGAACGGGATAATCCCAAAGTACCAAAAAGGTAATATGAAAACTCCAAAATTCTTGGATTTATTTGCCATTTGCAAGATGTTGGAAAATTCCCTGAAATTCACAAAAATTGCTTTTAAAATAATTCATGCTGCCGTAAATTTAGTGCTGTAAATTTAAATAAGATTGAGAAATGTTAAGATAAATAAAATAATATTCAATATTGTTAATATCAGATTAATATTTTCTGTTGAATTTATTTATTTTATTTAGCTCGTAAAATCAAACTTTTTTAATGATTTTGAAAATTGAAGTGATTATCCTACAGATTAAAAAAATTTAGAATTTTCTTTCATTCGTATGAATTTTATCAGTTTCTTTTCAGATCTAATGATTAAATCTAATAGCACAATATTTTCCTGTGCTGTATGTCTTTATGTGTATGTGATTGTCTTTAATTACTTTAGAAATTTATTTTTGAAATATTCACAATGAAATATGCTGTCATTTGGCCATTAGGAAATGGAAAAGCATCCTTTCTTTATGCGTAAACCAGTTGAAGGCCAAGAACTCCCACCCTTAGTAGAAGCTTTGCAGCAGTTAAAGTATGATCCTGAAGTGAATTCTCCTAAAGGTATTTTCTTTCTTTTTTCCCTTAATTGTGCCAAATTATTGTGTTTAGTTTAATATTATATTATCAGATCTAGAAGTTAAATCTTGTAATATTTTTAAAAAATTGAAGCTTTACTGCATTTTGACTGCATTAACTAAATTTTACTTCTGTTTAATTTTAAAATGACACAAAATGGACTTGAGCAAAATTTATTTGAATCAGCTATTTTGTAAAAGTGATGTTTCTACCAAACTAAAATTTACTACTGTGATAGTTTCTATATAGTAGCTGTTGTGGTATTTAACTGCAAAATCGGCAGTTATTCATAATAAAATTCAAATTCCTAATAAAATTAATTTAAATAGAACGTAAGAAATGTGATATAAAGTGGAGTGGGGAAAAGTTAGCATTACTACGTGTTAGAGATCAGTAGAAAATATTAATAATGTATGTGGTCCTTCTGACTGAAATGCTTTTGCAACATTTTTCTGTGCCACATATTAAATTGCCTAGGAGTTTCTGCAGTAAGAAAGTGTATTCATGATGAATAGCACTTTGAAGTTCCTGGAGAGTGTTAATTTTGGAGCTACAATGGTATACATTGGTATGTTCTTGCATCTCATACTGGTTCTATCAGATTTAAATATAGAGAATACGTAAACCATTTCATGTACTGGATTCCTTTGCTCTCAAAAAGATCAGTCATTTATGCAGTGTGATGGGAACAAGCATTATCATCCTTTAAGAAGTTATGAACTGCACCACTGAATGACTTCACAAGGATCAAGTGCTTCATCTTTGTATATTTCAACAGTCATAGCTGCATTTATCAAACCGTGTATGTCAGTGGCACCATTCAAAACAGTACCTGGTCCTGGCATGATTCTTAGGACTATTGCTTATGTTTTTCTCCCTTCAAATCGTAAAATGGCTGGAATCACTCTACAAACAAAAATGAGAGTTATTGATAAAGAGAGCTAAGCTCTAGTCAGTAGTGCTGCACGATAATATCTGTATCACTGCTACTGAATGCATTTTGCAGCCCAAGTTACTAGGGCATAAATCATGGGCATTCTTCACTACAGTCTCTTTTATGCAATTTATCACTCTTAGTATATCTATCTGGATAATCAAGTTCCTGTAGTTGCGGTGAATTTTCTTGCAATTTGGGCTAATCAATTATGTATTTTTTTAGCAGTCATTGCCAAATAAAATAGTCCTAAGTATCTCTTGTAGTGTATTTTTTTACCTTGATCTGGTTGTCTCTATTGGTTTCCATTGTCTTTAAACTGTTTTCAGATTCTTGACAGAATGCTTCTGGCTGTTTTTAGGTCTTTACATATTCCGTGTCAGTATTTGTCATACTTTCATTCTCCCAATCCTCCACTCTTGTCAATCATTCATGACAATTCCACCATTCAAATGTGAAAATTTTCGTACGTATGCCATTATCTCTAGTATACTGGACAAAGTGCAGGCATTTTTTATTAAAAAATTATTCGCTTTTAAGTTTAAATTAAATATTTATATGCACACTAATTTTATGTTCAAATGCGTAAAAAAATATTTGATATTATTACATGTCATGGCTGTAGCTAAGATTTAAATTATTTCTTTATTTTTTTATTGGGGGGGGGGCAAAGCCTGTGACTTTTATCTAAAACCAATGTTTTTGTAACTGAATTCTATTTATTAATTGAAACTTCAATTGGGGGAGAGCTGTAGTTCTTTCGGCTCCCTCCTGAATACAGCCATAAGCTTTTAATTTGTGTTTATTTTGATAGTGTTTGATCATCTGTCTATGTGATTAATATAGTTTTATTATGTTTTTAGAACTTGCTCTATCTTATAAGGAAGATGGAAATCAGAACTTAAAACAGCATAAATATCACTGGGCTGTGGATTCTTATACAAAAGGTCTGGAGGCAAAATGTGATGATCCAGAATTAAATGCTCAACTTTACTGCAATAGAGCAAATGCACATTATCATATAGGTATGGCTTAGTATGTGTCTATTGGTTAAACTGATTCCAAAAGTGTTTCTGAAAAAGTAATATTAAGTAGTCTGTCCATTTCCTATTTTAACGGAAAACACTTTTATCGTACAAACATAACTCTAAAAGTATCCATACATGTCATTAAAGCTGCCTCTATATGAAATGTTTATTTAGTAAGGGTTGTTTGGCAATATCTTTTTAAAGTGTGTATATATGTACTTCTTAGCATTCCGTGCAGCCAGGTTCTATTTTTATTTATGTCAGCAGTGTGTTTAACATGTTATAAGATAGAAATATTGAGCTGTAAGTGTGGTATAAAATTTAGTATTTTATTGATTTCCTGACAAGATATACAACATCAGTAAAAATTCATCATCAGATCTGTTAAGATCTATGGAAGTGTGTAACCTGATGCAATGAGTGATGGTAAAACTGAAAGGTGGTAGAAACTGCATAAGGAAGGTTACCAAAATATGTATAGCAATTGTGCTTAGGTATACTCTCTGTAATTTCCTGGTTTGTGTGCATATTTTATATACTTTCATTCGGTAAAACAGACATTTCACTAATTGTCAATGAATTTTCATCAAATTTCATGATCAGCTCTTTACAAAATTGGGTTATATAAAATTTGGAATACAAGAAGTTGTGTTTTCGATGGGATCTAAGGATGTTGTTGAAGAAAACAAACTAAAGATACTAGATTTCATTGACTTTTAACAACTTGATTCCCATAATACAAAATACAACAGGATATTTAATTTCAAAATTTGTGATTTTTGATGTCATTTTCAGCTTGCCTTGAGATTCAGTTAATTAAGTCAGAATAATTCAAGGAAGTAAGTTTGAATGAAGTTCAGCAGAAAAATGGGTATTATTTTGTGAACCGTATAAAAAAATCATGGTGTCCACATCAGAATTTTCTGTGTATAACATAAAAAGAAAGTTTTTCTTAGAAAGTTCTCCATGATGAAGTCCTCCCAAATTAAGGCAAAGCTGCTTAACAAACTGAACAAGCATTTATTATAGTAGAGAAGTTATGATTGATGTATATATTGAGGTGTTGCGTATTAGATGTTTTTATAATGAAATATAAAAAAAAAATGGTACTATTCGGTTTCGAGGGCCGTAAAAAAATTGCAGCGAAAATGTTCGTGCAAAAGCACCAAATCTAGCGTACGCGCTGCTTTCAGATTGCGTAAATTTATATGGTTCTATATTTCTTAAGATGCCATTGAAATACTAGTTTAATTTTTAAATCATTTTTTGATTTTAAATCCTTTTTTGATATCCTATTTAAAAATTTGGAATTGCCCATGACGCAAAGTCGGCAATAGAATTTTGGGTAAAGTTCAGAATCACCCACTGCTTGACGCATTTTTAAGAATTGCACATACTCGGTATCCATATGCACATCGACCTATTTTCACTTAAAAAAAATCCTAGAATTGCACAAAAATGGCACTGCGCACACCCTTGACTTTATCTATGTACACATCGACCTATTTTCACTTAAAAAGTAAAAGAAAATTGACAAAAATGCAATTGTTTTTACCCTTGTAAAAAGCGGCAAACAAATAAGTGAGTGATTCTGCACTTTACTGAGAATATTTTCCAAGAAAAGGCATCATTCATTATAGAAAATTACGTTTAAACAACCAACGAGATGAAATTATGTTTTAGCAATAAGTCGGTAGCGCAATAGCGATGCAGGCATCCATTCAGTTATGTTTAGCAATTTTTATACTATAAATTATAATAATGATCTGAAATAGTTATTTACTCTTATGCTCACATTCAGTCATGTTTAGCCTTTTTCATATAAATTATAATAATAAAAAAAGTATTATATGAAATTAACCTTTCATCTAAATTAAAACATCAATCTTAAATAGTTATTTACTATTATACGTCCTTTCTTGATGCAATTATTAGGGTTGCCGCAATTATTTTTGGCAACATTGGCATCGACAATAGTTTGGCGATTTTTTACGGCCCTCGAAACCGAATAGTACCCAAAAAATTGTTAATGCATCAATTTTAAAGATATTTTTATTAAAATATTATGGTTACTCTTTTCTGATAACATTATTATTCTCCTACATCCCCTTCACTGAAATACAGGACTTAAATTGAAATTATTCTTATTTTATAGGAAATTTCAAAAAATCGTTGAAAGATGCTACTGAAGCTCGGAATTTGAAACCAGATCACATTAAAGCATTTTATCGAGGTGAAATTTTTTTCTTTAGTTAATGTATCTTCAATGCTTTTTTTCTTTTCTTGTGAAATCTTGGTTGGACAACTTTTTTTTATATTGAATAGCAGCTCATATATTTTATAATAATTTATATCTTAAAATACGTTTTTGACTAAAACTGGCAGAAAAGATAGTAGATTTTCTGTACATTCTTGAACATGATTATCATGTCGTATAATTTCACAGTTAAAATTTGCAGGTAATTCAATAAAATATTCTGTTATATTCACGTAATATAGGCAATATGTAGCTAATGTTTAGTTTGAAAACATTTTTCAGGATTGTGATTCGCAGTTCTATTTTACATATGTATTCTTTTTGTTCCCATTCTTTAGGCTTGAGAAAAAGCTAAAAAAAAAAAAAAAAAAAATTAACAAACTATAAAATCTTAAGTGTTAAAGTGGTTTAGTTTAAGATTTTTATTTTTTAATGTGAACTTATATTAATTTACATTTTTAATGCAATGAGAATAGAATTTTGTTTATGTAATAGCATGATTTTGGGTAATACTTTTTTTGTATAATCCATGGTTAGGAGTTTTCATTAAAAGTAGAGAATTTCCCTTTTAAACTTAAAAGAAAATTTATGCATATTTTCTTACTTATTATGTAAAAATTATCTTTTACGTATTATGCATTTTAAGAAATTGGGCATTTTTATGGCAAGATAAGCACTTTCTTGGATGCCTTTTCTTCCATCTTCTTGAATGGATCATGAACCCTCTTTTGAACTTGATAAAAGTGGCATTTGTGGCAGAATGGTGAAAATTCATTTGAGATGTACTGTAAATTTTTTTATTTTTACTAGCCAAAAGGGCCATTAATCTCGAAATGCGATTTTGTGTGGTTTCGCTTTCATTCAAGTCTGTTGCCATTCGGCAAAATGTAAGATATTTATCTTTCAAATTTAATCTGTCTGTTTTTGATGAACAAAACTAAGCTGTTTAAAAGCAAAAGATGCAGTTTTTAAAAATGGTATTGTTTTTTACTTTTGAATCTGATACAGGTAAATAAAATGCATTTGATTCAACTGAGGAAAGCCCATCGAACTTAGTCAGTGAGGAAGGTTATGGTTACCATTTGGGGAAGCTAATGGAATCTTGCATGTCAAATTCATGGAACATGGTACGGCAATCAGTTCTGAAGTGTACGATAACACTTTGAGAAAACTGAAAAGAGCCATCCAGAGCAAACGTAGTGGCCTGTTGATACAAGTTTCTGCACGATAACACTTATGCTAGCAGTAAGTGAACACAAGATCTTTTATGCCAATCCAAATGTGACGTGTTTCAATATCCCAGACTTGGCATCTTCTGATTATAATCTATTCCCTGTAATGAAGAAGTGGCTTGGGGCACAGAACTTTGCTGACAATGAGGAATACTAAACCACTGTGTGACAAGTTGGTTGAAGTTGCAGGCAGCTGAGTTTTATACAGAAAGGTTGATAAGCTGGTAAAACTGTATGTCAGTTGTGTGAGTGTTCATGGTAACTATGTTGAAAAATAGAGGATGATTGTACCTTTCAGACGCAAATCAAAATTCGTTGAGTCTATGCAGATTTTTTATTTACAGGAAAATTGAGTTTAATTCTGAATTGTCCTCATATAAAAATATGAACTAATAAAAATATGTATGTAAAGGGTTCAGAAAGTAACTTAAAGCTGTTGCCTAAACTAAATGGTAGAATTTTACAATAAGAGTAGTATACCTTCACTGAATAAGATTTATATCCATACCTTTCTACTCCTATTACAATGAAATATCACGTCCATGTCAAATAGTTTCACAGTAATAGTGATGCGAGGAGCCTAGTAGCATGAGTGCAAAGTGATGTGTCAATTGGAAATTTAACTTCAGAGTTGAAATATAAAAAATGGTATAAGTTAGGAAAGTAAAATGTCTCAGTTATGTTGAGCTTCATGATTAAAATTATAATAGTCTATGAGATTCAGTGTATATGCGATGTCCAATCCTAATCAAATAATATCAGCAGTTTGAACACAACTATGCAAACTGCTCATCAATGAAGGCAATCGGTATTGATCATAAATGGTATTGTGATGCAGGTTGATCAAAGCCTTTCTTATTGTAAACTGCATTTGCAGTGGATTTCTTCTTCATTGACACCTGAGTATTCTTCTAATTACTTACAATGCAATTTTGTTTAAATTTAAAAACAGCAGATAACCTTGCCTGTGTTTTTAGATTCCAGTATATGTACACCAAAAGATGTATTTAATATTGCTTTGCATAGAAAAACACTTACTTGATAATTCTTGAAAATACAATTTTAAAAGTTTCTGTGATTTCTAATTATATTTACATTGAATCTTTATTGGTCATGATTGTTATTTAAAAAATAAATGGTGTGTTTCATGAATTTTCCATTTCTTTTTGTGTAACATAACTCTTTATGGTAAAATTTCCATGCTTCTATTTCACTTCGTATGTGTATTATGCTATGTTAGTTCATAGACTTGGCAGAAAAAGGATAAAATGATCTTTAATAAAACATAAAATCTTAAAATTTAAAGCATTTTCTGTCATTGTTATATATTTAATTTAAATCCACTAGTTCATTAAGATGCCGTTATATAACTTATTTGGGGCTGATTGCATGCATATATTTCTTCCTGTAACAGGTGCTATGTGTTGCATGGAACTACAGTTATATCAGGATTGCATTTCTTGGTGTGTTGATGGACTAAAAGTAAGAATTTTATTCAAAGTCATTTCTGTCTTTCTTCAGGATCATCTAAACATCTTATAAATCAAAATTTCCTCTTATGAAGTTCATTGCATCCAAAATCAATATGTTAATAGTTCTTACTGTAACACCTGTTTCTTTTTTGACATAAAAAAATAGGCAACACTGTAAATTACTTGGTAAATCACCTTGCCTATTTTAACCGATGATCATAAAATGACATGATTGTTTGGCTCATGATTACCATGTAATACAAGATAGGAAATGCTTTTGCACTGACCAACTTTTAATACCTTATGTACTTCTGATTTCTCTTCCTTATTGTTCTCCCTTAGCTTTATCAGTATATTACTTTCAAACTTCTAATTTATGGTAACAACATATGGGCAGATAAAAAGTATATTTTGGATGCTAAAAGAAGGAAGCTGATAGTTGTAACTAGCTTCTTTTGAAGTGTTGCCAATCTAGAGAAACTAACTTCACAAGAAGGAAGATAATATTATACATGGAGGAAGATGCTACAGAAGCATAAAATGTTGTAATATTAGTGCATCTATTCATTTATGCTTTCTAGTATGCTAAATTTTTCTTTTAAGCATTTCCTTCAGACCATGTTATTTTCTCCTCTTAATTTTCAGAGAAAAATTAGTGAAAAAAATGGAGGGAAACATACATCAGTAAATGCAGTATTATGCATTAAGTTTCCTTTAAAAAAGTAGCATACAGAAAATAATCTTATTTTTAGAACATCTGCTATAGTCTGTTATATGTGCAGTCTTTTTCTGTTTGAAAGTGAATTAACTTCTCTTTTATGTAACTGAGTGAGAGTTTTAAGTGTTTTCCTCCCTTTAGCACAATATTAAGCGTTTCATTCAGGTGATCTTTGTACTATGTTTAATTGAGTAAATATTTGAAATATATGTAAATGGATAAAATTTGATTTAAGAAATATGGTTGAGTTAAATATGAAGCATATTTTCATGATTTCAGTGCAAATGCCATTTTTTTTATTGCAGTATAACTTGATTATGCTGTACTGACTGAATTAACTGACAAAATTTTTCTACTTGAGCTATTGCTGGAAATATTTGTGATGAGTTAAAACTTTAGGTGAATATTTATAAATAAGAGATATAACAGCCTTCATGCCATTATATTTATGCTAACTTAATTTACAGTAACTGTCAATTTCAATTTCACAGTATTTGTGTGATTTTACTCGGAAATTGATCAAAATCTTTCATGAAATGCCTAATGAATAGTTTCCAAAAATATCAATATAATGTTATTAGTATTATTTAGGTATATTATATAAAAGTGTGTAGGAAGGTGAACTGCATGTTTTTTTTTGGGGGGGGGAAGATAAATTTACTTTGAACTGTGCTCCTTTTATATAAGCATATGCATACTGAAGAATGTATATTTGCCCCCTCCAAAAAAGCTACCTCGGTTAAGTCTCATTAAATCTTAATTAAATATCTTGTTTGATATGAGTTGTGTTATTAAATAACATTTTATAAAATTATCAATGAATGCTTTCTTGTTTTTTAGCTTCCCTTAAAGTCAGATATGTGTGTTTAAGTGGAAGCGGTTACCTTTTGATTAAAAAGTTATTTTGATGACTTTAAAAGCTATTCATTTTAAATTATGATTTGTTATTGGTAATAATCAATGGTGCTATATTTATGTACTTAGTCTTGTTATGTTTGTACTGTTTCAGCTAGATGAACAGAACAAGACTCTTCTTGACTTGAAGAAGAAAGCTGAGGAAAAAAAGGCTAGTAATTAATTTTTCATTTTCTTAAAATATTTAAAAGTTTAAACAAAATATCTGGAACAATTATATAAAATTGAGATGGAAATCCTATGCATATGGTCCTTATTTACTATGAATTCCAACAATTGCTCAATTCATAACTTGAAGTTTTGTGCAAAATATTTACTGGTATTTGTTATTTGTAACTTTAATTTTATCTACTTGTAAAAAAATAAAATGCATTCTTAAATCTCTGTTAGCAAGAACTTTAAATACTTTGTGATATTTATAAATTTTGGTGCATATTTAAATTTACTTATTTTTAAAAATTACTCATTATATTGTTATTTATAAAAGTATATGGAGTTGTTGCAGGAAACCTTGCTGAAATTTCTGATGCAGTTCTTTCATGTTTAGCTGTATGAATTATTGAAAGTTATTGGGAACTATTGTAGTCCAGTTTTTATGTTATCATTTGTATATCTTTTGTGTTCTATATGATGAAGATTATCATTCAGTAACTTGGTTCTTGTCATTGAATGATACGTCTGTTAAAATTCCCCTTTAGCTAATATCGTCAGTGCTTGAAACGAGAATACAATTCTTTTGTAGAATTGCTTTTGTGTAATGACGCAGTATAATTGTGATGAAAATTATAATTTTACACTTAACGGTTGCCAGATTTTGTAATCTTAAGATGCACAGGAAGGCAAAAATATAGAAAAGGCAATGTCAAGGGTTAAATTTATCAATTTTAACGAGAATGCGCTAGTGAAGTAAAGCACTGCAGTTTTACATAATTTCTGAGTAAGCTATTCGTACAAATTAAAATAATTCTTTCATTTAAACTTGTATTCCAAATTAAGATTTAACTTAAAATTAATGTAGGTAATTACTGAGAGAATTAGATTTTTGTAGCGTAGTTTATGTGAGATGAGATCACTTGGGGTCACGTGATATGAATTGGCGAATCAGGATGTTGAACCATAAAAGCATAGTAAATTCTCTAATTAATATCTTTTTACAAATTTATTTGCTTTATACAAAATTTTAAATGATATTAAAATATTTATGCCTTCAAAATAAAAAATTCTTAAGAACTAACATTTGTTAACTGTGCCAGTAAAGTCTGCTTGGCGAGATTTGCGCCGGCGAAATGGAAAAGTACCTATTTTGGTTATATTCCAATGGCTTTTATAAATAAATCGTGATATTTTGTGCCTTAATTTAAAAATATGTGTGTGTGAAATTTGGAACTGAGGAAAAAGAAACTGAGGTAAAATTTCTTCAGGAACACAAAATTTTGATGGGAAATCTCTAAAGAAAACAACGAGGAGATTCATTTGGTAGATAGCTGATGTTACTGTAGCTTGTGCGATAACATATCTCTGTAACTCTGATTTTTTTCCTACAACTCTTCGATTTTTTTTAAGTGTAAAACAGGTTGCTCTGTGCTTGGGAAGAATAGCACAAAAAAATTATAGAAAGATTTGGAGAAAAATGTGTTTCATTTTTAATGTATCACTTAATAATTATCTAATAATTGAAGTTTGTATTTGAAATTACTAAAGTGTGTTTCCTCTTTGTATGTTGATAGTTTGCCAATTAGTAATAAATATTAGTTTGGGAGTCTTTTTAAAAAATGTCATGAAAACTCCCAGTTTGCACTTCGTAAGTAACTTTTACTTTTTCATCTGTGAAAAATCAAAGTGTACCAAGGTGGTTGCATTAAAACACAAGTGTCAAAAATCTTGTCTATCTCAACATGATGGACAAGGATTAAATATGAAGCTCCATTTAGGGACTGTCATATTCATGAATATATTATTTTTAATAATAACATAATTTTAAGTACTTTAATCTTTTAAACTTTATATAATTGTATTGATTTTTCATACTTCTTTTTAATATTTCTTATGGATATTGCATTCTTTAATTTTTTTTAACTTCTTATTACAGTTTGCTAAAATCATGTAATTTAAAAAGGTGTTTACTATATATTGTATTTTAAAATAAGAAGATTTGTTTTAAATATAGTCTGTAAAAAATAATGAGTTTTACAACATATGAATGTTAAGTTTGAAAGAAAATATTTTAAATATTTTAATTAGCTAGGGGAGGAATTTGGATCTTTCAATGTAGAGGTCTTGCACCAAATTATGTGATTATCCTCTTAAAATTTTGAAAGCATATAGATTTTTTACATCTGTTTCTCTTTTAGCTACTGCAGTAATTTGTAGGTTGGCATATGTGTATAACATATGATTTAAATAATTGCAATCAAGGATTCAAAGAAATTATTTGGGTAAAAATTTAATGTAAACAGCTTCTTAAAGTATTCGTGATGTATTAAAAAAATATTAAATTAACTTTTGCTATAAAACTTTGCAGAAGCTTGAAGATATAAGTAAAACAAAAGCACAAGCTGAAGAATGGGCAAAAGTGAAAGAAAGGAGCACTTTAAAGAAAGAAGTTAAGGTTATATATATATATTTTCAATATTCTAACTTTTAAAATATATTTTATTAAGATTTTAAATTTATTTAGTTATTAGTAAATTTATTTCATCTTGGAGCATTCATAATTAAGCATGTGCTACTCATAATCAATATATCTTCTAATTTTTGTTGCAATTATGCTACTCAGAAATTCATATGCGGTTATGCCGTATTATTCGTAAAGTTAAAATATTTTGCATAATTTATATAATTTTTATTCAATGAATGTAACTTGCTTAAAACTTTACTCCCTACCCTCCATACATTTAATCAAAATAATAAAAAATTATTGCAGTCATCAAGAATGTTTTGCTGGTACATATTCTACACAGCTTTGTGCATGAGATATAAAAACATTTGTAAAACTGTACAGAACAGAAATCTCTGTATGGCTTAGAAATATGTGTATTATTCATACACACTTATGATTCTAAATAAAAAAGGAAAGGAAAAGATAAGATTTGTGTATATTTTTGATAAAGTGTTTTTAAATTAATGAAAATATACATTCAAAAGAGGATTTATTGTGATATTGTATTCAGCAATATTGTATATGTTATTACCCACATTAAACCATTACTAATGGAAATTACATTATTGTTTTCTTTCTAATGTTAATTAAATATGAAAATTAAGGAGTTGCACTCCTGCAATAAATTTCCTCTGTGTTAACCTAGAGAGATATAAACATATAACTTGAAAAACGCATTCTGGAATTTATTGGAGTTAACCATTTAGTGATTTTTCTAATGAATGGTGACGGTGCTATATGAGACTGATTTGTTAAAATTCTTAGATCGAATGACTATTAAGGTGCACTGGGCACAGAAAAAGTGTTATTTTATGATTATCAGCACCCACATTGAAAAGTTGCAAATTCATTGGCAGCTAATTTTTCACCAAGCTAAAGCATAAACGTCAACAACTTTTTTTTAAATGCTGGTGCCCTAAGAATTCTACATGTTAGTAAACAATCAATAAAATTTAAAAAGCAAAAAACATCAGCAATAAAACTCAGACCTCAGTAATAAACGTTTCAAGAAATCCTTCTTTTTTATGATGTTGCTCTCTCTATGTACCCAGCAATCCATTGTCACTTCTAAAAACACCAGCAAATTGCGAAAACCCAGTGCCCATACAACTTTGGTATGTATGCTGGCCAAAATAGATATGTATTACGTGTAAACCTGGGTTGTGATATAAACACTTTTTGCTTTACCTCATGTATTCTTTCCCAGGGCTTTTTGGCAGAGCTGGATAATCAGAAAGTACAAAAAAATTGTGACATTTTAATATTTCTGCTTTTATTTCTCATGCACAAGCAAATACTGCATAAATTTCATTTCTGTATGAAATATTAACACTGGGGATTGAATCAACTACTAGTTGCATATACAACAATGAGAATATGAGGGTAGAATAGCAGATACACTGCTGTTTTATTATAAATGGTCTGAATAAATTTTTTTAAAAATCAAAACATCTCTATGAAAATTTATATCTGTGGTTTAAAAAACTTTTTATAAAATCTAAAATTAAAAAATTTCCTTTTGTGAATTTCAACTGAAAATTATTGTGTAAGGAAGTTGCTATTTATATTTCTGGCCTTGGCAACAGTAAGTGTTGCTAGGTGACCGCAGATGATTCCAGTTGAAAGTTTCATATTTTTAACCGTAACTTCTTCAGAACGTTTTGCCATTTTAGCATGATTTGTGTTGTTTACTGTAAATTGAAAAATTCATTTTGGGAAAAAAATGGAATTGATTTGGGAACATTTTCAGGCGATTATTTTTCATAACTTTTGACAGGGTTTATCAGGAAAAGTGTGTTTTGATGAACTTAATTCTTTATACAGCGATAAAGCATCATCCTGTAGCTCTGTAAAAAACTGGCGTAACGAATTCAATCATGGTCGATGTTTGCTCCATGACAAATTCCATGAAGGTTGTCCAAAATCGGCTGTTGTTCCAGAAAATATCGATGCTGTTCATGAACTGATTAAGCAATATTATTATAGGACATAACTCGAGATTGAGGTATCTTTGGTCATTAGTATGACAAGCATAAAAAAGATGTTAAATGAATATTTGGCCATAAAAAAAGATTTGTCTGCATTGTATCCCACATAATCTGAGAAAAGCTGAAAAAAAGGCTCATGTCAATTAATGCAAGGAAATGTTGGAAAAGGTGCATTAGTGATGAATCATGGATCTATGCATTTGAGCCCAAAACAAAACAGCAGTCAACTGTATGGATCTTCCAAGATAGCCAAATTCAACAAAAGTTGTTCATGAAAGAAGCACATTGAAGCTATTGGGTGCCTCTTTCTTCGGCATTAGCGGTCACTTAGCGACAGTGGCATTAGAGCAATGCAGGGCGGTCAATTTTGAATGGTACATTTGTTTGCCAGAAGTCATCAGATAAATTCAAAAAAAGCAGAAAAAGAGTGAATTAATATTCTTCATCATGACAATGTGAGCTCTCACACATCGGCTCAAACAAACGCATTTTTAACAGGCCAAAATATCAAATTGCTGTGACATCCACTGTACAAAATCCCTGATTTGTCACCCTATGACTTTTTTTATATTCCTACATATCAAAAGTAAATTATGTGAACAGCGATTTGCGACACCCGAAGAAGCAGTTGATGCATTCTAAATGCATCTTTGAAAGTTACCTTAAGCGGAGTGGAAAAAGTTCTTCGAAAATTGGTTGAAACGCATGCAAAAGTGTATTGATCTTCATGGAGAATATTTAGAAAAACAATAAAACAATTTTAGTCAAAAACATTTGTTTTTTCATTATTAAGCCAGAAATATAAGTAGCAACCCTTGTATGCATATCAAGATGAATTCAGTATTTAGTTCAAGTTGGTCAACAATTCAGTATTCACTATCAAGTTGATTGATCGGCACAGGTAACTTTTAAGGTTTTGTGCCAGGAATCCCATAATCAGTGAACCAACCAAGTTGGTCAGTGATATGAATATTGTACAGTTAATGTGCAAAATGTAAGGTATTGCCATGTTATTTGAAAACTACTGTTTTAGTTTGCATTATAATTCTTAGAACTTTCATATTTTGAATTAAATGTTAATAAAATATAAATTAATTTTGAGTGAAAATATTTGAAGGCATATGAGTTATTGTATAATAGGTGAAAGTATTGTGCAGCTCTTTTGCCATAAAAGGCTATTATTTATTTTTGTAAGTATAACATAATTGCATACAGTTTATTTTACTTTTTCATTATTTTTTTTTTTTTTTGTTGCCAGAAACGGGGAATTTCTTTAGTTGAGGGAGATAAAATTGATCTCAGTGCCTTACAACCAATGCATCCTGCTGTAACCACAGCCAAAGTCAGTTTAGATGAAAATAATCGACTGTCATGGCCAGTGATGTTGATTTACCCTGAATATGGTGTAACAGATTTTATTAAATCATTTCATGAAGATACATGGTAAATAAATTGATCTATTTAATTCATTTTATCTCAAGAAATGGAAGAAGGGAAAGCAGATCTTTTCCCTCTTTCAAAATTTAGATCTTTAGCATGAATTTTTTTTATTATTATTTTAAGTACTGGTAATGTCTTTAAATATTTAAAAAATGAAACAAATGTACTGTTGTACTTAGTTATTACCAAAAATAAAGCAACTATAAAAAAAAAAAAAGAAAATGTGTTGTATTTAGTCCTAGATAAAAATTACGCTTTCTCGTGAAAAATTCTTAGAACTTTAAAGTTAATTTTGAAAGCGTTAATTGTTTAGTGATTGTGCTTTTAATTAAGTATTTAAAAAAGCTTTTATGGTGCTTTATTTAATTTAACTTTTTTGTTGCAACATGTAATAATAGTTTTCCAAAGCAACTGAAATTGATACCAGATGTGATTGCTTTTTATATGAAAAGTAAGATTAATATTTTGTTTATTTATTTTTAAAGAAAATGATCAAGTAAAATAAAAACATTTATATTTTTCATGAGGAAGTGCTGAATTATTTAAATTTTAAATAATAAAAAAAGAAATTATCCAAAATAAATCCACATTAGTTTAGCATTAAATTTCCTTGCACAAACCACAGCTTTATTAAAACATGGACTAAATACTACTATTAATACCAAAGTACTTAATAGCATGAGTTAAAGTTATATGGACCGTTTTTAATTTTATTGCATAAAGTTTTGATGCGAGCATGAGAATGAAGAAAAAATTTTAATTCATCCAGAAGTTGTATAAATATTGTGTTATTTCTGCCTTTCTGATTAAAACATTTGTCATAATGCATTGTCATTTTGTGTGCAATCAGAAAATATGCTACTTGATCACTGAATGAGCAGTGTATGTAAAATTTGATGGAAATTAAGGCAGATCAGAAACTGTAACACAACAATGGCCTCAACTTGTTTTGTCAACTGCCTCATAAAAATACCATTTATTACTGCCTTTTTTTTAACCAACCTTTCTGCCATGGTCTCCATTCTTTTAATTTTTTGGCTTGGCAAAAACATTGATTTTGTTACAAATTACTACATGCATGTTATATAAATGTAAATAAAATTTATGAAAGATAAATAACAGATGACTTATCAGTGAATATATTAACTAAATTTACTCCTTAATTGGATTTCAATCACAAAATAGCCTTCTTGATAATTAAAATATGTATTGTATGAAGTTAAACTCATTTTTTAGAGGTGGCCCACCAGTGGCTGAGTAGTAAAAAGGCAAGTACATTGGACCATATGTGTAACAGCCAATGGTGACTATATTGTAAAAGACTACCTAATATATGTCATGATTAATAAAATCGTTCTTCTTTTGCTAACCTGCATATATCTGTAGTGGTAGTATGAGTAAGTAAAATAATCCAGTTTTATAGTTCAGGGATTAAGATATTCTAACAGTAAAATTTTGAGTCTAAAAGTATGCAATGTGTATTTCATGTAAGTAAATAAAATCATGTGTTTGTTATCACAGTTTCAGGGACCTCTTTATTTCTATGTTTATGGATGATGACCCTCCACCATGGGATATGAAAAGGGAATATACACCTGAAAGTATGCAGGTAAAAAAGGAAAAAGAGTGCTTTTTATCCTAGAGTAACTACAAATTTATTTGGATTTCTCATTATTTATAAAAAATTCTTTAAATTTTAAGTAGCTTCTGATTTTTTTTTATATCAACATGCTTATATTTCACATTAAGTTTTTCAAATTTGTATTCATTAGGAAGTATATCCCAGTAACTAAACATTTTTATAACCTTTTAAATATTTTGCGAGGTGTATATTTTTTAATTTAGTGGAATCTTGCTTTGACTAAATTAGTAAAAATTTGACATTTTTTCAATTAAAAAATATTGTAGAAACATTTTATATGAAAAAAGAAACAATTATTTCTGTATTTTATAAATATTATTTTTAAATCTTAGTATAATGCGCTTCTAGTATTAAAATTGCTTTAACTTGCATATTATAATTTTCTGGAAACTAAATTATCTTTTCCTTTAATTATCAGAATATAAACACTTTTTATTGTGTTAGCTAGTGAGTCTGTTGTAATATTCTGTACTAATATTTCTAACAAAGATTGCAATAAAATCAAATCAATATTACAGGTATAAGTAATTTTTATTTTGTACTTTTATGTTCTAGAATTGGTGACAAATGTGTAAAAGGGATAATTTTCTGTAAACTATGTAGATAACTATGCAGATATCTGTTATCAGAACCGGATTCAGAAATGTATGAAGGTGTGAATGTGTGTTTGTATGTACAAGGTGTGGCTATTAATTTTCAGGACTGCTCTAATAAAACCAGAACAGATGATGTGAAAAACATAACCTTTTAATATGTTTGGAAGTAATCCCCCATCTGCCGTAACACACTTTTGTGCTCGGCTGTATAAGTTGTGGAAACAATTTTTAAAATCCTCTTTCGGAAGGCTCTTCAATGTCGACGTCACGTTCTTCTTGATGTCTTCAACATCCACAAAGCATGTTCCTGATCATGCTCTCCTGACTTGGTCCCCGCAGACTTCTTTTTGTTTCCCGAACTCAAAGCTGTGATGAAAGGAACATGCTTTGTGGATGTTGAAAACATCAAGAAGAACGTGATGTTGACATTGAAGAGCCTTCCGAAAGAGGACTTTAAAAGTTATTTCCACAACTTATAATGCTGAGCACAAAAGTGTGTTACGGCAGATGGGGGATTACTTTGAAACATATTAAAAGGTTACGTTTTTCACATAATCTGTTCTGGTGTTATTGGAGCAGTCCTGGAAATTAATAGCCACACCTTGTATGTTCATGTATGTGCATATATGTATGCACACATATACATTCGTACTTACATATATACATGCATACATGAACACATAGATGCAAACATACATGCATACATACATTTCTTAGCCTGATCCCAGACTGGTTAATAGAACAGTATCGATATATGTATAAATTTATACTATAAAAATGAATTTGAATAAAGACAGGTGTCAAACTATTTTGTGTTCAGGCCACATGCACAATCTGGAAACTACAGAGGGGCCAGATTTTTTTTAAACAAAACTAAAACATGTTATTAACAAAATAGGAAATATTTAAAATAAATTTTAAATTTCACTTATAAATATTTATGGAAACATAACGTAAACAATAATAATAATATCATAAAGGTGGGAACTCAAATTTCTATTTATTTTCTGTTCAAAATTTAAAGTTTGATACTTGCAAGAGATAGTTATTGGTTACACCTTGTAAATCAAACATATTGGCAGCTAAATATTAAATTCTTAGACTGATATTTCTTGCACATAAACTAAAGATAAACACTAAAAAACTAAAAATAAGCAAATTGTGAAAAATTTCTAAGCTTTCAGAGAAACTTTTGCAAGTGGAACAAAACTTGAGAATAATATTTATTCTCAAGACTTAATTTCTTTCTCTTATTTATTAATGACAACTTAATTTCTTTCTCTTATTTATTAAACTTTTCTTTGATGCATAAGTAAAAATACATATATTTGTATGCAAATAATTCTAAACTTTTTATTTATTTCTTCAGCTTGATTCTATTAGATTCTGATAAAGTTTGCAATGGAGAGCAGTTACTGGAAATTATCTGTATCATGGATTGTAGATGTTTATCAGTCATTTGTGTTCTTTACTTATCACTTTCAACTGTAATAAAATTATTATTAATGTTATGATTATTATTTATTTATTTATATATTTATTTTTTTGCTTGTTTAGGTTTATTTTAGTGATGGAGAAGATACCATTATACCCATAGACAAAGATCTGCCTCTTAGGTCTGTGTTGACTCATAAAATGTAAGTCAAAATGAAACATAAAAGTGACTTAATGCTTTATCTGATCTGTTTATCTGGTTAATGTTTCATCTAGTTTAATTTATTTTACTCAGACATTTAGCCAATTAAACTACCACCTAAAACTGAAATCATTGTGCCCTTTTTGGTTACATTTAAAGTAAAATGTAACTGGTAATAAAGTAAGAAATCAAAATTTTTGTAATTTATATTTTAAATACAGAGCAATTGTTAAATAATATAGAACTATACAGAGATGCATTCGAAAATTGAGTTTACTTTTAAATAACTTTGTACTAGTTTTATTATGTTGATGTTGTAAATATTTTTCAATGTCCAAAATTTTACTTGATATTAATTCTCTGAAATAGACAGGATTTATAAAAATATGAAGTGTTAAAAAATATTGAATGAGAATAATTTATTTGCAATTTAAATATAATATAACTGCTTCTAATTATTCTAGGTACAAAGTACATGGGGGAATACCTTCTTTTATTATTACAGTATCAAATTCAGAATTTGACGGATCTTACAGAAAAAAGTACAGAGTAATAGACTTTTAAATATACCTGAAAGTTTATATGGCTTTGTATGAAAATGTATTTGATTGCAATATACATCCACTTTTGTGCTGCTCCTAGGATTTGACTGCAGTAATGTATACATTTAAGGATTAAATAATATTTTGCTTTTTGAATTAAAGTTGTGTTTGCTATCTGTTTTTAAACTTTTTTTGATCAGCATTATAATCTTTATAGCAGTGTTGCTTAAACGTTTTTCATTCTTGACTCTTTATCAGATTTTTTTCGCGACAACATACATTCCCGTAAAGAATTTTTTTTGTGCATATATATTATACATATGAAACACATTAGAAAATATTATATTAACTGTCAAGAATTGCAAGATATCTTAGTTCAAAAAACACTAATTCGAATCACATATAACATCAAGATACATGAACACTACAAATCAGGTTTCTAAACTCCCAAGTTTATTCATGTCTAACACACATTCAACTGGTGGTGCCAGATCCAAGAACAAGAAGTATACATCATGAAAGATTTACGCCCTCTTTGGCGATTAAAATATATTTCCACATAAAATTTCTTACACACATGTTTTAATGGGATGGATGTACTTCTTTTTTTTGCTGCATGACAAATTAAATCTTGGTGCAATATTTGACATTTCAGTGTTGAGCATGTTTAGGTTTAATAAATGTTAGAGCTGAAAAATCTCATTTCACATAGGTAATAATGGGTGAAGAATATTTAATACCATTTGAAGAAATTGTGGAAGATTCAGTTCTAGTTCTGATCCAGAATTCAGTCTTTTTGTGGAAACTCAAATTAAGTTCAAAAGCTCAAAAAATTCCTCTTAGACTTCATATGGCAGGAAATTGATTTTGTTAACATCTGTCAAAATGGTTTCTGAATCTAAGATAACTTTTTGGAAGTATTGGGTCAATCCATAAATTCATGTGCATTTTTTTGGTTAATTTTTAAATAATGTAAAAAGCAAAATTTAACATTTTAATCAATTATATATTTTCCTCCATTATCTACAATGTCTCACCATCTTACAGGCAGCTTTTTATGCCATTGCTGTACAAAAACTGTGGTTTTGATGCAAAAAAACTTGAAAGTTCCTTGTGTACATCCTGTTTAGAATTTAATTTTTTTCTCAGTAAAAATTTTGTAAGGTACAAAATAAGTTAAAAATCACTTGCGGCAATATCTGGGGAGTAAGGAGGATGTGTCAAAAGCTCCCAAATAATTTCACTAATTTCGAGCCATATGGGGTCTAGCGTTATCATGATGAAACAACACTTTCTTGATATTCACCAATTGTGGGCATTTTTTGATCCATTCCGAGTTTAGACAGCAAAGGTGTTCACTATAAACTTCTAAATTAATCGTTTGATTTGGTTTTAACAGTTCAAAACGTCCTGAAACGGAGTTCAACATCAATGCTGTTTTTTTTAAACTTTAAAATTTTTAAACCATTTCTGGGCAGTCCTTACACTAAAAGTGTGTTCACCATGTACACTATTAATTTTTATCGTTGCAAACCTGCCAGATTCACCACACAAAAGTAAAAAATGTAGCACAGCACATTTGTACTGATTATCTATATTCATCTTCTATGGGTACTAAAATGTGTTCGATATTTATGAAAGTTGATGATGAATTGAATAATATGTTAGTCAAACGATTACAAGTTTCAACAGGTTCAAAATGTTATTGTTTTAGTAAATGCGTCATAGTGAATTTCACACATACTCTTAATGTGCACGAACTTATAGACTGACCAGATAATTTGATATAAAATATTTGAAAAAGTGTGTTTCTGGCGTTTTTAATTGATCTCAAATAATTTTTTTCAATTAGCAGTTTTGCAATTATAAAATTGTAATTATATATATATATATATATATATTAAGTTATAAAATTGTCAGTTCTCTTTTTTCACCCCCTTCTTGCAAATGTTGTTCTTTTTAATGAAATGTACAATTTTATCACTTGCAGTAAATATATTACTACTTTTTCTTTGAATAGACATATTGAGATCATTTAAGTTTCTCAGATGTAGGTAAATAGCAAAGCTTTTATAGCTATAAATTATTTTGGAAAAGAGCTGCAAGATCCGACTTTTGTTCAGTTAAAATTATAATATTAATTTTGTCTTTTAATAAAGTATCTTGAACTTCTGCCTCATGATATCCATCTTACTTCTGCATGCATAAATACATTTTTGTATTCAGAGTTCATAGGTTTACAGAAATTTGAAAATAAATAGATGCTAAGGGCATGCTTTTAATACTATAATTTTCACGGCATCCTTAAAGACATTATTCAATGCTATTGCTAATTTTTTTATTGCAAAGACCTCTTGGTGGATCAGGCAGTGTAAAAATGTTACATGATTACTACCAGCTGCTTTAAAAAATGATTTAAAAATAACATTTTTTTCCATCATCACTTTTGGCATGCATATTCCAATGCAATTTTTTCATTCTAAACCTTCAGTTTTTAAAATTAATAAACTTTACTATGTCTTCCTTTTGTATATTTTTCAACAAGGACAACAAAATAATAATTATTCATAAAATTCTTCATAAATGCATCTGACATACACTTACAACTGATATTCACAATTGAATAGTAAATTTTGGGCTTTAAATTGTAATAATAATATACTGGAACTCGTCATTGCATATTTCATAAATTCTGTTGACAAACAGTGTCGTTTGAAAAAGGAATTCTTCGGATTTCATTACCATATTTACTTCTGTGAAGTATTTCTGCCATTTTAACCACTTAACAATTTCTTTTTTTCTGTCATATTATGACAAAACATAAGCATATTTTTGATAAACATTTTTATGAAAAAATTCATTATATAAACCCAAATCAGCGGTCAGAACTATTACAAGAGTTGAATTTATTGACTTATGCTAATTTTTATTTTCATTGTAAAAAGCACATTTTTCCTTAAAGTTGGCTTTTTTCGAATAAGTAAACGAACTAGAAAGAACACTTTACAAAAATAGATTTCAGAATTTAAAATGTTTCATCGTTATTACATATATGTTCGATTCCAAAGAAGAATTATTAAAATCAAGAAAGAAGGATTATTAATATCAAGTTCACAAAAGTTCCGAATTTGCATTAAATTATCTAGTATACTTTCCGTTTCTTCATCACTAGAGAAGTCAGACAACAAACTGTCATTACTTCCAGAATCATTTAGTGAAATTTCAAATTCTCTATCTGAGTCAATATCAGAGTTATCTTCAGTTATAAGCTGCTCATTATCATTCATTTCTTCTTTTATTTTAGCTCCAAATTTAAAAGAAATAGTATTCACAGTAGCCAAAACACCGAGCTAGTGAAAAGAAATTTCGCGCCTTTACTTGCGCAAATAAAATTCAGTAAAACCTAACCTTGAAACCAATTGTTTTGCAATTCTAACTTTACTGGAATACTAGCGCCATCTGTTAGAAACATTACACAATAAACAAGCAAAAAATTCGGGTAAATCAGTGTATTACACAAGAAAAAAATGCTGCCCGAGCGGCGCTAAGGAAAATTAAAGGAGTGCCATTTCCAAGTACCTGAACGGCGTTCGGGCAAAACTGGGAAGTGGTTAATAAGCAGGAGGTAATACAAGATCTCTAATGGTGTATGGCTTTTTATTTTTAGAACTCAAATATGAAATTTTATGACAGAATAATTTTTTTTATGATAGTTATAAATTTTGCAAAATATTGTCTCTCATTGTTTGAAGATTTTTAATAGTTATTTGAAACACTTTTTATGATAAGTCATATGAAGGATACTTGATTTCAAGATGCTTTTTTAATATTCATTGTTCCATACTTTCCATAACCAATATGTTTTTGCAAATTAAACAAAGAGGTTGTTCATTACCATCATAATCGTCGAAAGTTAAGCCAAACTGAAGAAATAATTCATCACATTTTCTTTTTTGCAACTTAGGTGCCTTTTTCTGATAACAATATCCTTCTTGAAGAGACTTTATAGTATTACCATCTGCATCACTACCTTTATTTGTAGAGTTCAATCATTTATTCATGGGTAAAAAATATTTTTATCCTGAAAAATAAACAAAATGGATAATTTTTCTAATAAATACTAACATTAGTCGAGTTAAACGGTAAAATACAATACTGTATTGTTCTTCTGATGTATATATACTTGTTGTGATGAAATAGAACGTCTGACCTATGGTAGAAAAGCATTATCACTAAACTAATTTGCAATGGCATCGAGCATATTCTCAACTGCCTATGTGGCGCAAGACGTTACTGTGCATTTGCGGCATATTTTTATTCTGAAATAACATATATGCTGAACTTGTAATGCAACACCACTATTATGATGTTCTTAATGCTATTTTTTAATATGTAAAATATGCTGGCCAGACGGTATAGTGGTTAGGGGAACCTGACTGTGATACCAAAGGGCCCGGGTTCGAATCCTGGAGCAGGCATGGATGTAAAACTGTCTGTCCCTTCATAGGAGGTAATGGTGGCCGCCTATTAGGTGCCTCCTTAATAAAATAAACACCGCTTCTGGCCTTAGGAGTGGCCAATGCTGTTATAGGCAAGTGCCCGCCATTTGTTAGGAAAAAAAAAAGTAAAATATTAATGATTTTATAGTTGAGAAAATGTAATATCATGCTTCCTTGCATATTTTCTTCTATTCTTTTTTAATTAATTTTATCATCCAAAAATCTAAAGGGGAAAATTATGCGAATATTTTAATTTCCAGTGTGTGTAGTTGTAAGAACATAGCAAATGAAAGATAGTGAAGGGTAAACTACAGGTAACTATCACAATATTATTTCCGTAAAAGAAATCTATATTCCAATAGAAATACATAGTAATATTAGCATTGCAATGTCTAAGTACCTTGTAACCTGAATCTAGCTCATTCTTATCTCTGCTATTCCTTGGGCCTCAAATCATCCAAAAATAATTAGAGAAGATGAATGTGCAGCTGACTTAGCAGAATCATAGACCGAATGTAAGTTTGTATTTATTTTGCTACTCTGTATGTGGTAGCACAATTCACAGATACTGAATCTAGCCTCATCATAGAAAGGAGTGCCATTGCCTGAAGAGTTGGACTTCTGTCTGTTGGTCCGTAGGTATTTTATTTCCTTTCTACCACCCAAAGGAAACTT